AAAGAAAGAAAGAAAGAAAGAAAGAAAGAAAGAAAGAAAGAAAGAAAGAAAGAAAGAAAGAAAGAAAGAAAGAAAGAAAGAATAAGCAATTCAAAAGGAATTCTTTCTTGGGATACTTTCATATGAAGCAGAAAGTATTTGTAATTTTAGGTTTTGTTTGTTTGTTTGTTTTACAAAATAGTAATGAATTTTATCCTTAGATAATATATGGAACTAATTTGTATTTATCAAAGAGTAAGCACAAAAAATCTGGTGTAAATCGACAGCTACTGTTTCTTATTCTCCAAGTTCTTTATACTAAACTATGAACTCTAAAAATAAGTGGTGGTCCTAAGAAATACCTGTGTATCTTTGATTATTTATTTTACTTAAGATACCATTTCCCTTCAGAGAGCTTGAACAACCTCAAGTTTCATTTCCTATTAAATGGGTAAAAGATGTGGAATTCTTCAAAGTTAAAAGTGATACAAACAAATCATTAGTTTTAAAGCTCCCAATTCAAAACTGAGGTGTATAGATTTTCCATGAATATATTTCATTTATTTGTATGAATAAAAATACCTCCCAATGTCTATGTCAATTCCATTTTTTCCCAATGATGCTAAAGCTGTTTCAAAAAGTAAACAATGCATCTTGACCCCAGAAAATTTGTTTTCATTGGGCAATACAATGCTGTAAATATTAATGCCAAAAATACTATTATTCTGTATTATACTATTATACTTATTATATTATTATATTATTATACTATATTAATAGTACAATAGTACACTATTATGTTGCATGCTATTATATATAATTTACTACTATGGTATTTATGTAAAATAAATAGTATAATATACTACTATGGTATTTAGAAGAAAGTAATGTGGGGATAGATTCCCACAAAAGGTTTAATAAAGATGGTTTAATAATATATTCTAATTAGTGGTTGAACTTTATAGTGATTACTAGCAAGAAGATTCATAGAAGAAACTGATCAGAACTTAAAGGCATTTGTCTATAGGCGTGTCATGATAGAAAAGATAAAAAATAATGCAGTTTATTGTGATGTCTGGTGAAGATGATGATCTGTCTGGAAAATTTAGGATTGGTCTTGGGCAAATAATTTTGGATTTGCTTTTACATTCAGTTTCACAATGTTCTCAATACAGTTTTTTTCCATAACTCTTTAATCAAATTCAGTCTGGATGAAATAAGTGACAAGTTTTGATTTCCTGTACCTTTTCCAATCTGGCATTCTCTAGATATGTCGGGACTGTGTCTCCTAGAAGTCTCCACCAAAGACTTTCAATATTTTCAAGAGCAGAAAATCCTGATCACAAATCTCTCATATGTATTTCCATTTTTACCCTTAGAGTATAAGTGTTTACATAACACAGAATACAAAATTATGTTATGTTGTATCTTTTCAGAAAAAAAGGGGGTGGAGTACAAGCTAAAGTTGGCATAATGCAAGCTAGAGATAGTACAAGTGGGTTTTTCCCCCCTTGAATTATACTTCAGTGAATTTCGTACGAATGCATGGTATTTTCACAAATGAAGAAGTTGTAAAGCATTATGTATGCTGATTTAGAAGGAACCCTTTTGCAGTCAAGGGGGCTTCTCAGATATATTAATGCAGAAATTGCCCTTATAAAGTGATTCTCATTTCAGTGGCTTGTAATGTAAGGTCTAAATGCTTGTTTTGCAAGTCCAATACTCTCGTCCCCAATATGCTGACTTCACACAAAAGTGTGAAAGAAATCTCAGTGCCTTTTTATTTTACATAAAAGAAAACATTCAAGAATTAGTCATCTCTGAAAAGCAAGTTAATTAACCATGCCAATTTGCTGAGGACACTGGTAGTTAATTTTGTAAAAATAATAATAATAATTTCCTTTTGAAATTACCCTGCCATAAAGAAATGCTGCAATATGACATCTCTATAACATCTGAATTAAAACCTTAATATCAGAATCTTTCCAGATGAGAGGGGAAATGCCATTCTATTCTTAGTGGTTTATTAGTGCTACCTCCAATTTAGCAAAAGAAAAAGATGACTTGGCTTGCTTCATAATCTTGATATGATCATTTTTATACAGGCTATAAAACATTGGAAGTCATGGGGTTGGGGGGCACCTAAGAATTTTCTGTTGAAATTGTATTTATAAGAAAATCCTGTGTTAGGATATGTTAGTAATTTATATAGTAGTGTAACAAAGCTGACAGTGAGAACATATAGGAAGAAATCATATTTCATATTTTAGGCTACTTTTCAGTTTTTGGGGCTTATAATAATACAATTCATCATCATCATTATAATTAATTCCTGCCATTCCTCTGCTGTTACAAAAGAATCTTTAGCTAGAGGTAAAACTGAGACTTGCTATATTTACAGCACAGCTATAATTTCTTTGAATGCTATATTAGATTATTCATGATCGTAGTTTTATAATCTGTACCTGATATGTTTCAAGTACCTAATATATTACAGTCACATTCTTACAGAGCAGTTGATTGCCAGATGGCTCAACTTGGGAACATAGAGAATTCCTATTTGCAACACTTTTGAAGATCCCAGTAATTATGCTCTGTACCATACTACTTTCTCTTTAAATGAAGATATTTACATTACCACTACATTTTAATCATTTTCCATTTTAACAAAAGTAAGGAGTAATGCTTCATCTATAATGCTGATGGAAGATTAGGTCCATGTTTTTTAAACTTGCGGAATGTATCTAGAGTCATGATGTCCTTCTGTCTGAGGTTTTGTGCTTATTTTAATTCCGGAACTCCACAGGAATAAAGACTAAAAAGATACTTGCAGACATCCCAGAAGCTGTGTCTTCTCTCAGTGATTCTGACTCAGGTTGCAGAAAGCGGTGTATTGCTGGATTAATACCTCATGCTAAGTCTTAATGTGATTTATTTGGTTTTGGCTGTAACGTATCAGGTGAATTCAGTGATTGTGAACTTGTTTATTGTTGAATTCAGCCATTGTGATTTATTTAATAAATTATGGAAAAGCAAATGATAGATTAACGTGATATTTGAAGCCAAATTTTGTGTAGAGCAAAATCTGTTGCTTGTAATCCCGAATCAAGGTGGTTTTCCCCCACCCCCCAAATTATAGGATAGCTTCTATTAATAACAGCATGTCTCATATTATTTAAAGGATCTTATCTAATAGAAATATTAAGCAACCAAGGTTAGCTTGTGGTATTTACAGTAGCTGCTGAGTAGCAGGATATTACAATGTTTCCTCACTATCCACCCCAATTCCACTTATAGAAACTGGTCTGTAAAAAACCATTTTTTATTTCAACATAGATGATGGAGTACTGTTCTCCATCTTAGCCAATAAGCAAATAAGCTTAGATCGTATAGGCAAGAAAGTTAAAATACATAGTTCTGACCTTCAGTAAAGAAGAATGCTGTGAGGGCTAGACATTTTAAAAACCTCCAGATGCCTTTAGACTCTGAATAAAGGTAGGAGGAGAATACAGGGATGTTGAATTTAGACAAGAGAAAATTATTTTGATTCTCTGCACTTGAACATTTCATTTGGTAATCTATCTTTGACGAGGCTGCATTTGCTCTTCAGGCACAAATTCATTGACTAATAATCCTCCTTGGCTCTACTTTTGACATAGACAACCATGTAAAATCAATGGCAAGGTAGCCTGTTATCTGACAGAGCTAGTAAATCAGTTGTGACCTTTCGTGGAGGAGAGACACCATCAAGGTTGGATTATTGCAATGTGCTCTTCATAAAGTGGCCCTGGAAAATGACACAGAAATTGTAGCTGACTCAGAAAGCGGTGGCATAATTGGTGAATAACACCACTCAGAGTCATCCCAGTGTTGACACAGCCATACAGATTGCTAGTTGCTTTCTGAGTCAAATTCAAATTCACTTTCACAGAGTTTCGCAGAGTTTGAACTGGTTTAAGCTCAGGACTGTTTCCTCCCACACACTCCATTTTACCCAGGTTCTGTCATGGATATGTCTAACATATATACAAAAATCTGTTTATTTGCAGATAGAGTCTATTTGTGGAAGCATTACCATTGGAATTGAGGCAGTCCTGATGTTTATTATAATAGAAGACAGAACCTAAAACATGCATTTGGCCCAAGGATTTTTT